TTTAAGGAGCAATTACAGCCCAAAATACAGAGCAATGGTGGGAGGAAGTTGACAGCTGTAATTGAAGAGTATAATATGATAAGTCAATGGAGTGAGTAGGGGAGAAACGTGAACTCTGTAACACCAAGATGACAAAAAAATGCCTGTCTTAGATCTTTTTTTTTTTTTTTTTTTTTTTTTTGTATTCTGTTTGCTAGTGTTTTATTGAGAATTTTTGCATCTATATTCATTAGGGAGATTGGCTTGTAGTTCTCTTTTTTGGTTCGGTCTTTCTCTGGTTTTGGTATCAGGGTAATACTTGCTTTCAGGAAGGAGTTGGGGAGAATTCCTTCCCTTTCAATTTCATTAAAGAGTTTGAGAAATGCTGGTGCTAAATCTTCTCTAAATTTCTTGTAGAATTCAGCTGTGAATCCATCAGGACCTTTTTCTTTTCTTCATTAGCAAGGTTTTCATTACATTCTCAATTTCACTGGCTGATATTGAGTTATTCAGGATTTTTATATCTTCTTCTTTTGGCTTTGGTAATTCATATGTATCTAGAAATCTGTCCATTTCCTCTGTGTTTTCCATCTTATTAGAGTAAAGATTTTCAAAGTAGGTATTGATGATCTGATTTTCTACAGGATCTGTAGTGATTTTACCCTTTTCATTTCTTATTGCATGTATTTCAGTTAGTATTTTTTTTTTTCAGTTAGTATTGATGATCTTCTGATTTTCCACAGGATCTGTAGTGATTTTACCCCTTTCACTTCTTATTGCATGTATTTCAGTTTTTTCTTTCCTTTTTTTGATAATGTTGGCTAGGGATTTATCTATTTTATTTATTCTTTGAAAGAACCAAATCTTTGATTCATTAATTCTTTGTGTTTTTTTTTTTAGTCTCCATTGTGTTAATTCTGCCCTGAGCTTTATAATTTCCTGTCTTCTTTGGGCTTTGGGTTTGACTTGCTCTTCTTTTTCTCAAAGTTTGAGATGCATATAAGATTATTTGTGCTTCTGTTTTTCTGAGGTGGGAATTCACTGCTATAAATTTCCCTCTGAGGACTGCTTTCATTGTGTCCCAGAGGTTCCTGTAAGTTATATCTACATTTCCATTTGATTGTAAATAGTGTTAATTTCATCAGTGACCCATTGATTGTTCAGGTGGGTGCTGTTTCAATTCCATGTGTTTATGGAGTTCTTGTGATTTCTTTTTCATTAATTTCCACTTTCACTGCCCTATGATCTGATAGTATGCATGGGATAATTTCAATTCCTTTGCATTTACTTAAGCATGTTCTATGTGCTATCATATGGTCTATTTTAGAGAATGTCCCATGTGCCGCTGAGAAGAATGTATATGCTAATACTGTTGGGTGGAACACTCTGTAAAGGTCTACTAAGTCCATTTGTTTACAAGTTTGGTTAAGTTCTCTTATTTCTTTGCTTATTTTTTGTCTAAGTTGATCTATCTCTTTGTGCTAATGGTGTATGAAAGTCCCCCGTTTGGATTGTGTTACTGCTTATTTGATTTTTCACATCTGTTAAAAATTATCATATATAGTTGGGTGCTCCTGTATTTGATGCATAGATATTTATGGTTGTTATCTCTTCCTCTTGCAGTTTTCCCCTAACAAGTGTGGAGTGACCTTCTTTATCTCTCTTGACCATTCTTGGTTTGAAGTTCACATTGTGTGCAAACAGAATAGCTACACCTGTTTTTTTCTGGGTTCTTGTCCCATGGAGTATTGTTTTCCATCATTTAATTTTCAGTTATGAATTTCCTTTTGAATTAAATGTGTTTTTTATATACCATGTATATTTGGATTTTGTTTCTTGATCCACTCTGCCAGACTGCTTCTTTTGATTGGTCCACTGAGACCATTTACATGATGGTTATAACTGATACGTATTGGCTTATCTTCTCATGTTATTTTCCTGCTGTTGGTTCCTCCTTTTTCCCTCTGTTTATTTCCTTGCTCTGCTTGGTGGTTCTTTCTGTTTTTGTTCTTGAAGTTGTAGTCTGTTTTATCTCTCTATAGAATATCTTTTAGTATTCTTTGTAGGATTGGTTTGGTGCTTGTGAATTTCTAATTTAGTTGTTCTTTATCATGGATTTTATTTCTCCATTAAATTTGAAGTATAGTTTTGCAGGGCACATTAGTCTGGGTTGGAAGTTGCTTTCTTTTGTTACCTGAAATACTTCACTCCAAGCTGTTCTTGACTTGATGGTTTGTGTTGAGAAATCTTCCTTGATTCTGATGGGCTTTCCTTTATAGGTAATCTGGTTTTTTTTCTCTTTCAGCTTTTAATATTCTGATCATTTATTGAATTTCTGGGATCTTGATCACTATATGTCTGGGTGTAGATTTATTTTGGTTATGGTTAATTGGAGTTCTATATACTTCACTTATCTGTATGTCTGATTCTTCCATTCATGGGAAATTTTCTGCTATTATTTCTGTACATAGTCTTTTTATGTCATTTGTGTTGACAACTGCTTTTTGTTGATACCTCTTAATCTTACATTGTTTTTCTTTACTTCATCTTGCAGTTGTTGAATTATTTCCTGCTTCCTTGTTTTTAAGAGATCCTTTCTTTCACATTCATTAGTTGCAATGCTGTCTTCAAGATCTGAAAATCTATCTTGAGCTTCATTCAGGCGGTTTTGCCAGCTTTTGGTGGAATTTTTAATTTCCTAGATTCCTTGAATCTGTTTCATGCATTCTAGTTCTGTTCTGTATTGTTTACTCAAGGTTTCCATGAGTTTTGTATGCTCGTCTATTTTCTTATCAATGTCTTCTTTGGATATGCTGAACAATTCTTTCATTATTGTTGTCATTTCTTTTTTTACCTGAGAGATTATTTCTGATCTGATGTCTTCTACAGCCTGATAGAGTTGTTTCTTTACTTCAGTTGCTATCATTTCAGAAATTACAGGTGTATGACTTCTAGGCTCTGCTGTGTTGTCTCCTGGACTTTTTCTGAGTGGTATAGAGGTCTGAGATTGCATTTTGCTCCTTCATTTTGTCGTTTTTGAAGATCCAGATGTTCCCTGGAGCTCATCTTCACTTCCACAATGGTATGGGAGTGGCAGGGTGAGGGTTTAAGATCCCCAGTGTTCATTGTGGCTCCTGTGCTGGTATGTGGTGGCAAGCTGGGTCCCAGATTCTCACAAAACTTTCTTGCCTTCAGTTGGCTCCCAGGCCAGTAGGGGTGGGCCAGGGAGGCTCACTGGAGTTCCTGAAGCTGTCTGGGGTTCAGCCCAGCTCTCACAAGTTTGAGGGGAATGCAGGTCATGGTCACCAAGGCTTCACATGTTGCCCAGGACCCAGCCTGGTTCCCACTCTGGCAGGGGAGGTGTGAGGGTGGAGTCCCTGAGGCCACTGGCTCTGTCCGGGTTTTCAGCTGGGCCTCCCCAGGGGTTTGGGTAGTGTTGGGACTGAGCACTGAGACAGGGCTCCACCTGCCTCACACATTAGTGGGGAGGCGCAAGGGTGGCTCACTGGGGTTTCTGAAGATATCCAGGGTTCAGCCCAGCTCCTGTGGGGATCCAGGGGTGCAGGGAGTGGCCAACGAGGCTCTAGATGGTGCCTGGTCATCCTCCTGCCTCGAATGCTGGTTGGTGAGTTGTGGTGGTGGCTCACCAGGGTTACTGAAGATGTCCAGGGTTCAGCCCAGCCCCCACAAGCACGCTAAGGGTGTGAGGACTGGCTACCAAGGCACCGCCTTCGTCTCATTCTAGTAGGGAAGACTCAGGGGTGGCTCACCAGGGTTACTGAAGATGTCCAGGGTTCAGCCTAGCACCTGCATGCTCACTAGGGCTGTGGGGAGTGGCCACTGAGGCCCCATATAAGGCATGGGGGCTGCTCACTGGGGTTCCTGAAGATGTCCAGGGTTCAGCCCAGAACCTGCAGGCTAGGGGTTCGGGGGAGTGGTCACTGAGCCCCCAGAAGGTGACCATGGCTCCCTCTGCCTTGCATGCTGTTCAGGGATGTGCAGTGGTGGCCCACTGGGATTCCCAAAAATGTCTGGGGCCTTAAAAAACTTTAAAAAAAAAAAATTCTCATATGGCAAATTTTGATTAAAACCTGCAGAAACAAAAGTTCTTTGGCATCCTTTTTGGGTTTTTTTTGGTTTGTTTGTTCATTTGTTTTGTTTTGGGGGGATTTTTTTTGGTACTAGGAATCAAACTCAGGACTCTGCCGTTGCTAGGCTTGCACTGTACTGCTGAGCTATATCCCTGGCCCTGGCATCCTTTATTTTTGAGACTGTAAAGAAGTCCTGAGGACCAATACATTACTTGATCGTTGAAGTTCAGCAAAAATGCAGACTTTGGTAATTACTGTTTTCTCTTTCATTAGGTTCTTTAGTAATCGAGGATAAAGAGAGCCAGCCACAAATGCCTAAGCAGAATCCTGTCGTGGAACAGAATTCACAGCCACCAGGTGGTTTATCTTCAAACCAGTTATCCAAGTTTCCAACCCAGATCAGCCTAGCTCAATTACGACTCCAGCATATGCAGCAACAGGTAATGGCTCAGAGGCAACAGGTGCAACGGAGGCCAGCACCTGTGGGTTTACCAAACCCTAGAATGCAGGGGCCCATCCAGCAGCCTTCCATCTCTCATCAGGTAAATTTGGAAGCAGGCCTGTCCTAACTTAGATAATTGTAGTATAATTGTGTTCAGCAGCTCTTAAAATAACCAAGACATCCAGAGTCTTTTAAATATATGAATTTATAAAACTTTATCAAATTAAGGACCCCAGAATTAACATCTTAATTTTCATCTTGGAGATGCCTTTTTTTTTTTTTTTGGTTTTTCTCCGGTACCGGGAACCGAACTCACGACCTTGCGCTTGCCAGGCAGGCGCTTTGCTGCTGAGCTAAATCCCCAGTCCCTTAATTTTCATCTTTACACAAAAGAGATTTAATGCTTTATTTTGTAGTTATGTCTACTTCTATCTACTGTTCATTATCTTCAAATTATAGCAAGGGCATAAATGTATTTCCAAATAACCCATGCCTGTGATTGATGGAAAAAGCTGTATAGCTGTAATTTTTTTCTATTTTTCTTCTTCAGAATAACTAGTTTAAGAATCTGTTCTCTATGGGGATGCAGTGTTTAGAGAAAACACATTGCATCTTAGAAACTAGGTGAAATGAATGTGAAATAGACAAGGGCATGGGTGTAGCTCCTTAGAATATTGACCTTTTCACACTTTTTTTCTGAACAAATACTCGATGCTCCTTTCTTGGTTTTTTTGTTGTTATGTTTTTTTTTGTTGTTGTTTTTGAGACAGGTTCTCACTATGCAGTTCAAGCTGGTCTTGAACTCACTATATAGTCTAGGCTGGCATCAAACTCACAGTGATCCTCCAGCTTCTGCCTTCCAAGTGCAGGGATTACAGGCATGCACTACTTTGCCCAGCCTCTTAGTTTTACTAGATATGAAGTGTTCTGTTAATTTTCAATCCAAGTTTTAAAGATAAAAATTTTAGAGACTTTTTCAATCATAAAGTCCTGTTGAGTTTGGATTTAGGCATACTTAGATTGAAATGTTTTGGTAAAGTGTTTAAAGTCTAATTCATAAATATTGTTATTTTTAAATACTTCTTTCTTAATTTATATTCTTCCTGTTTCTGCAAATGATTTGACATGACTTAGATAAGTGACACATTAAGCAGAATGTAGAGTTCATTAAAACAAATTATGTAAACCTAAGCTAAGAATTCTTGCTGTACACAAAAAACAAAATTTAACTCAGAATTTCTTGACAACCAAAAGAAAAAGGAAATAGGAATCATATAGATATCATCACCCATATCTCATAAAAAACACATTTCATTTAATTTGGGAAAGAAGGTGTTATGGCACACACCTGTAATCCCAGTGCTTTGGAGGCTGAGGCAGGAGGATCATTGCAAGTTTGAGGCCTGCCTGGGCTACATGACGAGGCTCTGTCTCAAAAATAAAGGAAAAAAAAGAAAGTTTATGCCAATTTTTTTTTTCTTTTTAAGTAGTAAGAGAAATTTTTGATTGTTCATTTTAAAAAGCAATTAAAAGTAGCATTACCCCCTCTCTACCAACTACCAAAAATTAAACCCAGGGAATGCTGAGCTTATATCCCCCGCCTTTTTGTGGGGGGGATAGGGTCAGACTGGGCTCAAACTTGGTGTCCTGCTTCAGCCTCTTCATTAGCTGGGATTATAGATGCGTGCCATGATTCCAAGCTAAATTATATGATGCAGATAATTTTTATTGGACTCCTTAACTCTCAGTAAAAGTTGTGGGCATGCCAGGGATATAGCTCAGTGGCACACAGCAACTGCCTGCCAAGCGCAAGGTCCTGAGTTTGATTCCCAGTACCCACCCGCCAAAAAAGTTGTGGGTATATATAGATTCTGTTCTTCTATTAGGCCTCTACGTGCTAAGCTCATGCACTGCTTGTAAGCTATGTCCCAGCTAGATCTTGATTTTGTTAAAGTCATTTCTGTAAAGCCCTGAGGTAAAGTATTTGTGGTTCATGAGTTTCTAGTTATTTGATTAAGAAAGTGTGTGAAATTTAGGAGATTAATAGCATGTCTATTTAAATTTAAAACTTTGCTTCAACTCAAGTTAATAGGAAGCCAGTAGAAAGTAATTTTAGGGGCTGGGGATTTAGTTTAGCGGCACAGCGCCTGCCTGGCAAGCGCAAGGTCGTGAGTTCGATTCCTGGTACCAGAAAAAAAAAAAAAAAAAAAAAAAAAAAAAAAGAAAGTAATTTTCAAGATCTTTGATTACATGTAAAAGATCAAACAATGCAAAATCTTTTTGTCTGGAAAAACAAATCATGTTCTCACATAGGAATAATGAACAGCTTATTAAGAATTGAATAATGGAAAAGTACAGAGGGAAGAAAAGATCTTTGATGAGTTTTCCATGGGAAGAGAATCGTGTGCTTTAGATACCAGAAGCATAGCTAGTAGAGTTGAAATTTTAAAAATTGTAGCAAAGTGACATTATAAACAGAAAAGAGTGTTAACATTTTTTGAAACTAAATGCAGAAAGGTTAGCAAAAATATCTTTGGCTGTACTAAGCATTTGCAGTTAATATTTATCTTAAGTGTCTGAAAGACTCTGTGACTTTAATAGTTTATTAACCACAAAAGTGGTGACTCCATTATTTCAGTTAATTACCTTTTTACTAAGTAGTAAGGAACTGAGGCAGGTTAATAGGTACTATGCAAAAAAAATTACTCATATAAAGTTACAAAACAAAAGTGACCCCTGAGCCTTTTGCCTGCTTTTTTCAGAAATTTGCTTTTGATCTTATTTTTAGCCCCTAGGACTCCGTGCTGTAATATACAGGCCGTACAGTTTCTTTTGTATAACATTATTTTCCTTAACAGCTTTTAGTCCTTACTTTACACTGTCCCTTTCAGTGTACTCTATGGCTCCTACACCTTCTTTCACTTGCTCATCTCTTTTTTATGGGCTGTCTTCCAAATACGCGCTGCTGTGTTTTTCACCCACTAGTTTGCCCTCTTCTGTCACCTTGTACACCACCCTGTCCCCAGTATTCTTGGCTTTCTTCCAGTTTGTTTGCATACTTATGTAGGGAACTGGCTTCTTGTAAGCAGGGATATCTGTGTGCCTCTTGCTCTGTGGGAGTTTGCAAAGACGGTACAGTTATTGAAAAGACTGCTTCCAAAAATGACTTACATGGAAGTTTTCTACTTGTTCCTTCCTCTGAAGCTTAACCACGTCACCTGCATGCTTCCAAAGTTTGGTGACCATAGAACAGTTATAGGACTAGGTGGCGCAGATTTGATACTGTGTTTACTTAATGCTATACAGTACAGTCCATTAAATTCCAGTGGCAGACCTGCTTGTCACATGATATTTATACATAATTCACAGCAGTAGTTCTCACTGTGGTTCTCTGTGTTTGACTAAGCTCTAATTATTCCCTGCCCCTACCTTTTTTTTTTTATCATTAGTCATGGGGATTGAACCCAAAGGCCTTCACACTGAACTACATGTACATCTGGAGCCCATTTTATACATTCTCTTTTGAGACAGAATCTCAGTAAGTTGCCTGTGCTAAGCTCAAACTTGCAATCGTCCTACATCAGCTTCTGTACTGCCTAGTACAATCCCTCCTGTGATTATACCGTACCTAGCATCTATTCTTAAATATTATTCTCAATTAATCCTTAAATCTTGCAATTTAAATTCCATTTTGCCAATGTATTACTAGAATTGCTATTCCTTTTTCTTTTTCTTTTTTTCTTTTTTGTAGCGGGAATCAAACTCAGGACCTCACAGTTGCCAGGCAGGCACTGTGCCACCAAGCTATATCCCTGGCCCTAGAACTACTATTCCTTTTAAGATACTAACACATTTCTACTCTTCTTTGAGTAGAAGTTGAAGTTGCTTCCTGTGCCACAGGTTCTCACAAATGAATCCAATCACCTATAACAGTGAGGGCAGGGTGTCACCTTGGCCCTGGCCAGCCTGAGTTCCTTGATGGCAAGGTTGACATCTGGTCCCACTGACTTCTCAGATGATGCAGCACAGCTCAGGCATTGTGCCATTTGCAGTTGAATCATGGTGGAAGCATCAGGCTGGGAGAAGGGGACAACAGGGTGGCCAAAACTTACATAACCAGCTTAATTCTCCCTTAGAGACCGTTCAGGAGTGGTTTCCCACTTAAAAAATTAATCCTTTTGATAAATTTAATTTTCCACCATTTCTTTTTTTTTTTCTTTTGTCTTTTTGAGACAGGGTCTCGCTGTGCAGTTCAGGCTGTCCTTGAGCTCACTTTGTAGCCCAGGCTGGTCTCAAACTTAAAACAATCCTCCTGCCTCAGCCTCCCCAGTGCTGAGATTACAGGCGTGCGCCACCATGCCCAGCCCACCATTTCCATTATAATTGCCCAATTATTTTTTGTTTCTATTTCTATGAGGTAGACCTCTCCAGTAACAAAACTTTTATAGAAAAATGAAAAACAATTGCTATGGCTTTAGGCATATGTTTTTGTAAAATTTTGAAGCTTTTTTTGTTTTTTACAGTACTGGTGGTTGAACCCAAGGCCTTCATACTGAGCTCTGCCTAGGTTAGGCTCAAACTTCTATCCCTCCTGCCTATGTCCCAGAGTAGTGGGAATTACAGCTGTGCACTACCCTGCCCAGCAATAAAGTTCTGTTGTTTTTCTAATATTTTTCTACTCTTGGGCAAAATTTTACTGTAGAATTTCATCCAAAAATATTTCCTGCATCTGCTTTTCACTGCGCCACTATGCTAGCCAATCAGTGTTTTGACAGCCAGAAAAGCATCAGAACATGTTTTGGTAGTAATTGGACTGATTAGATTTGGTGAAGGTCTTGGTGCTCACTTTTACTAGCTGTGTGACTTTTCAAATTATGTTAAGTGTTTAATCTTTCTAATTAGTTTCCTGATTTGCAAATAAAGGTTAAAATATCTACTATACAGGGCCCGGTGATGAAATATACATAAAATACTGTGTTAGACAGAGATCAGTAAGATCTGAGACTTGTGTCCCCACTCTCCATTGAACCTAGGGCCTTTGTACTAAGCATCATCCCAGCTCTTGAATTTTGAGACAGGGTCTCACTAACTTATCCAGGGTGGGCTTAAACTTTCAATCTTCCTGCCTTATCCTGCCGCAGTGCTGGGCAGGTTTACACTACCACAACTGGCTAAAACTTGTTAAATTTTAAAATGTAGCGTCAGCTATTTTTATTATTGATGGTTTTTTAAGAATACAGACCTTGGAGCTAGACTCTTCAGATTTACTGTCTATTAATCTTGGGCAAATTACTTGAATTCTCTAAACTTTAATTTCCTTATATGTAACATAAACATAATCCCTACCTCATAGGATTGTTGTTAAAACAATCCTATATAAAGCAATGCCTGTTAGGTAATAATTCATCAATAAATGTTAGCAGTTATTATTCTGTCACTTTAAGAGGTTTGAGGAGAGCAGTTCTTGGCAGCAGATAATCTTGAAGGATTTAGGATACCAAAAACACAGTTACCTAACTTACCACGCTGGCCTGTGTCCAGCCTACAAACCTAGTTGATAATACCTCTCCCAAGGTTCTTTCATGATAAAATTCGTTCAAAATGGATTACACAAAGTTGGCATGGTGCCAGCACCCAGGGAGGCTGAGGCAGGAGGATCACAAAATTGAGTCCAGCCTACAAAATTCAGTAATTTAGCAAGATACTATCTCAAAATAAAAAAGGCTTGGGAGGTTGTAGCTTAGTGCATGGCCCTGGGTTCAATCCCCAGTACCCCCAAAATCAGAAATTGTAGATGTCTGCCCATCCCCACGCCCTCATTCCTTTTATGAGATCCTTCTAACTTGTCTTTATGGAGGTAATTGTTACTGAAATGGTTTAATTTCATTGTTCTAGCAACCCCCTCCACGTTTGATAAACTTTCAAAATCACAGCCCTAAACCCAATGGACCAGTGCTTCCTCCTCATCCTCAACAGCTGAGATACCCACCAAACCAGAATGTACCTCGGCAAGCAATAAAGCCCAACCCCCTACAGATGGCTTTCTTGGCTCAGCAAGCCATAAAACAGGTATATTTCTACTTTCCTAGTTGCTTATTCTTCTCTGCTTGTCTTTCCTTTTAAGTCACATTGAATTTCTAGATTAAGCAGCAGGCTATGAAGAGCAAGAACAGCTTGGTTTACTTTTTTTTTATATAATGACTGAGTTTCAGAGTGTATTACAGACAGAGCTATGAAAACAAAGCTGAGACTGTGCTTTGTGAAGAATAAAAGAAATCAAGCTACTTGTACAGGAACAAAAGCTCAGTAGAGTAATTGTGTTGTTGGTATTACATTTTATAATACTGGTGTGTGTAATTTTTAGTTAAGCACTTTATATTTCCTAAACAAAAGTATTCTTATACATCCAAGGTCAAGTCCACAGGAAGTATTTTGAGGCAACTTTTTGGAAACAAACTTAATTGTGGCACAGTTTCAATATGGAGTGCATACATATCCAATGAAAATTAAAGGTTACACATGAAATCTGATAGTTCATTATGTTCTTAGTGTCTGTAGGTAAAAATTTCTAGAATTGCTTTATCTTACAGCAGAAGCCACTTACATGCACCTCTGTGAACAGTCTTTTCAGAAGAAAGCTTTTGGACTAATTTTGGTTTAATTTTTTGCCAAGGACATGTCCTCCCTTCCCATAAAAAAGGATGATGATACTAATCTCATAATCTTATAACATTCATTTTAATCAGATCATTGAAAAATTTTATTCAAAAAATATTTATCTGCCATGTGTTTGTGTGTATAATGTCTGGCTTTGGTATAATTACCAAATTTTCTTTTCTTTTCTTTTGGTACTGGGAATCAAACTCAGGACCTTGCACTTGCTAGGCAGGCGCTTGTGCCACTGAGCTATATCCCCATCCCTTATTACCAAATTTTCTAGACTATTATTATATTCACTTCTGTTTCATAATTTGGGTAAGATGGAAAGGTACCAAAATATATTTGGGCCTTAACTTTTATTTTCCTAATAATTTTATGGTGCTGGGCAAATTTATTCTCTTTAAATCTCACTTGCCCCAACCATAAGTGATTGAGTGCCTTGTAGAGATGTGTTGAGAATTATTCTGATGTGTGTGTAAATATGCCCAGCAATCCGGGTACTTAACTATCTTCCTTCTGCATTTATTGTGTTTAGTGAGTTTTTTGTTGGGGTTTTGTTGTTGTTGTTTGAGAGAGGGCCTCACTTTGTAGCCCAAGCTGGCCTCAAACTTGTGGTGATCCTCCGCCTTAGCCTCCCACATGCTGGGATTATAGACATGTGTCACTACACCTGCCATTTATTATATATTTTAAAGAGTAGATATCTTTTATATTTTTCAAAATGTTTTCTGGCCAAATATCTAAATATGAATGAATAAATGAAGTAACAAGCCAGGAGAAAATGCAGTGAGAAACTTATTTTAACAAATGTGGCATACTCATACACGAGAAATACTTGATATATTAAGGAAATATATATAATCTCCTAAATATATTATGTGAAAAAAAACCTATTACAGAATTACATGTGGTATTGTCTATGTATGTGTATGTTTTAATCTCATATACACAGGAGAAACCCTGGAAAGGTACCCTCTATCTGAAATGGACTGTTCTTGGGAGAGGTGGTGGATGGAAGGTAGCACGTGAGGGGTGGGTGTGCGGTAAGATAACATTCACACCCACCTGTGTATGTTTATGTATTTAGTTTCTATAAGAGAACATAGAAATTAGACGTTTTGAAATTAAAATGTTTAAGAACTTAAGCCATTCTGTAGTGTCATCCATATATAAATGACTGTGTTGGGAATTTTCCCCCATGCATAGTCATAGGGAAGCTCTCAGGTGCTTTCCTTTTTCCACTATTTTATTAGAAAAATTTCAAACATAACAAAAGTTGAAAGAATTTTATAGGGGCATTTTGTTCTACTTGCCCTACCTCATATTATCTATCTAGATGTCTATCAAGCCATCATTTGTGTGGTTTGGTTTCAGCTTTGCTATACTGGAGATTGAAATCCTGTCTTTTTTATATTTTCCATTTTGAGTTAGGTTCTTGCTAAATTGCTCAGTCTTGGCTCAAACTTGTGCTTCTCCTGTGTCAGCCTCGCAGAGTACTGGGATATAGGCATGTGCCACCACGCCTGGCTGATAGGTTTTGAAGTAAACTGCAGAGGGTAGCACGCTTGACTTCTGTATATTTTAGCATGCAAAATATTATCTTAGTTTATATGTTTACCTCAGTTGCTAATATGAATGAGAAGACATTCCTCAGGTATATCAGGGCTTTTCATATATGAACAATGAGAAAAATAAAAAATCCTGAAAGACTTGTTCTATGACTTATTTCCAGCTATTTCAGGTAGGAGGAGAAGGAAACATTTGGTATCAAACATCCATCTTTAGCTCATTTATGTTGCTTTGTTCTTCTGCTCCTTTTCCAGTGTGTATAACCTTTCCGACTGGGTACTATGGTTTTTTGATATATACTAACATTTATCTTCCAATAAAAGTAAGTGATTTTGTTTGTTTGATTAATACCTATGTATTCTCTGCTCCCTTCTTTTCACTGAAAATAAAATCGAATTCAGACAGCAGAATCTGTCTTCCACTTCATTTGGTACCTGAAAAAGCAGCTGATGGACAACCTGCTTTCTTCTTTCTTGCCCCTACAGTGGCAGATCAGTAGTGGACAGGGTGCCGCCTCAACCACCAGCAGCTCGTGCTCTACTCCTTCCAGTCCCACCATCACAAGTGCTGCAGGGTACGACGGAAAGGGGTTTGGTTCACCTATGATCGATCTGAGTGCACCAGTGGGAGGTTCTTATAATCTTCCTTCTCTTCCTGATGTAAGTATACACAAAATTTATTCTTCCAACCTTTTTTGGAAATTGTCAGTTAATTTGTATCTGTTAAAAGGGCTAGGTTTGTTCTATTACAGGTTTTTCTTTCAGTAATTTTCATTCTTTAGAAATATTTAAAAAGCAGTAAGAAAAAAAAAAATGACCACTTGGACATACAACAGAATGTCTTTCAGGACTCTGGAGTTAGAGGAATTTGTAGTAATTAAGTTGATAGATCATGTAATCAAAGCTGGGACGGAGGGCAGTAAGAACAGGGGTGATGGAAGTCACATGGCTGGAATGTAACAGATTAAAGTTAGAGTTGGATGCTAAGACATCAGAAGAGATGAAGATGCGTGTTAGTAGTGGAAACCTAACCATTTTCTACTAGATTGTCCTGAGCAGTGCAAATTACCTGATTTTTTTAATATTTAAATTAAATAATAACTCATTCTCGAAACTTTTAACTTTGTCCATATGGCTTTTTGAGCATCTTTCCAGAGGCATAAAATACATCATGTAGACAGGTTCCCAAATACAAGTTGAACTCTTACTTTTCCTTTTCTTATTCTAATCTCATTATCATGCATAAGACTGAACGTTAAAATATCTTGTCAGGGCTGGGGATTTAGCTCAGTGGCGTAAGTGCCTGCCTGGCAAGCGCAAGGTCATGAGTTCGATCCCTGGTACCACAAAAAAACAAAAGAAAAAATATATATCTTGTCAGAAGTGTTTTGTACTATTGTAGTTGGAAGGAATCACCTGTCATTTTGATTTATTTATTTATTTATTTATTTATTTTTTATTTTAAAGAATAAAAGAAGGATAACATAATAATAGGGGGGACAGCAAATTACAGACAAAATGGTAGGAAATTATCAATGGTTATTGTTTTACATATTATTACCTACAAAATAGTTTCTCAGGAAAACAAATAGACAAATAATAGTGAGTTAGAGACAAAAGAGGTAGGAGATTATCAAGAGTTGTGCTATACTTTGGTATCTTCAAAGTGGCTTCTAAAGAAAATAAATAGAGCTATACATGAGTGACCTATTGAAAAATCATTAACTATTCTCAATGGTTGTTGTAGGAAACACATAATAATAAACATACATTATGAAATAGGATAGGAACATTACAAACTTAACACAGTTATGGATAGATTAGTAGGAAAATATCAGTGGCTGCTGTAATACGTGGTGGTATCTTCAAAGTGGTTTCTCAGGAAGACAGAGATATGCAAGAAGGATCTAATAAGTAGTTACAGCCTAAGGGTTGTCAAAAATAGCATATTACCTCCTCACCAGTGACTCCTTTCACTGAGGTATGATGGCTGGAAGGAAGGCCAGGATTGAAAAGAAGGACCGAGAGACTTGCACCTGTGACTAGCAACATCACCTGTCATTTTGAAAGAACTATTGTAATCTTCATTATTCAGTTTGTTTTCATGTTGAGATCAGTTGTGATTTCCTGATAGTTATTTTTTTTTGTTGTTAACCTTATTATACTCCTTTTAGATTGTTATAATTTTAGGTCCTCTAAATGGGTAGAGCACATGTATTTTTTCATGCATAAATGCTACATAGAAGACAGACCTAAACTTTCCTTGGGTTCAGATCTAACATCTAGTCTTGCACTGTCTTTCCAGTCTTTGCACTGTCTGAAGGCGTTAGCCAAGGTAATTGCCAAAGAATATTAAAATGTAAATGATCTTATGTACTCCTCCCATTTTCCCCAAATGAAAGAAGACCTACTAACAAATGCAATTCTCCTACCTTTTTCTCTGCATTTACATACAAGTGATCCTTTGTCAGCCTATTTCAACTGATAGTCTTCATCTAATGAACAGTCTTTCTTCTTTCTTTCTTTTCTTTTCATTTCATTTGATTTCCTTCCTTCCTTCTGTACTGGGAATCGAACTCAGGACCTTGCACTTGCCAGGAAAGCACTATGCCACTGACTTATATCCCTGGCGCAGACCTTTTTCTCTGTCTGCCTAAGGATGCTTCATAACTACCAGTAGCACTACTCTAGGTGCACAGACAAGAAATTAATTATGTACAGTCTATGCCGTTGGACTGTAGGACATAATTTTCTTGTAGGATCCTGTGAAAGACTAGAACTGTGTTAGAGAATTAAACTCGATTTTAATCACAAAGACATTCTTATCAATTTGGTGAATTTAGGCATGAAAGAATAATTGCATCTAAAGCATTAAAGTCTTAACTGGAAATTTATCAGTATTTAGCCTGGCAGTGAATTAGGAATCAGTGTAATTTGTATATCTATTGTGTTAAAGGGCCCTGCCTTTACTGAACAATAATATAGTGAGACTTGTGCTCTAGAGATGCGTGTGGTGTATGACTGTTCAAATGTCTAGCATATCCTAAAGTATGGGCCAAGGACTTGATCGGCCCTCCAGGTCCTGTCTGTATGAAGCCAGATTTTCTTCATATTCTTCATCTGAAGCCACAGATCACAACAGATGCAGTGCAGAAGCAGGTGAAAGCTAACTGATTGCTCTTAAAACAGACATGAAAGAGATTTGCAGAAATGGAAAACTTCAAGTTTGCTTTTTTTAAATGCACCTAATAGTGTTAAATGAATTAAATTTTTAAAATTTTTGTGAATGATGCATAGTATTCCCTTGTTCCTCCTATTGACTTCTGAAATAGTATACTCTTAGTGTAGTTATCAAGCTGGAATGTTAAAAAAGAGAGAAAATTTTATTCAAGATCTTGAGAGAAATATCTATTAGAATTTCTCATGTGATACTTACATATCTTTTGATTTGTCAGTAATTCTTAATGAGGTTTTCTATAAACTTGTAAGGTGGCCATTAACTTGCAAAAGCAGTTTGCCGTGAAATAATTTCTTTTCTTATAAGATTGATTGTTCGAGTACTATTATGCTGGACAACATTGGGAGAAAAGATCCTAGCACTGATCATGGCCAGCCCAGACCACCCTCCAACAGAACAGTGCAGTCACCAAACTCATCAGTGCCCTCTCCAGGGCTTGCAGGTAAGTGGCCTCAAATGTCTAGTTTTTACTCGAGAAATGACTGAAGTCCCTCTCCTTCACCTTCTGTGTTGCATAATTACGATGTGTCTGAGTTTTTTGTATTACTTAAAATTAGTATACAGTACTTCCAAAGAATGAAATAAACTCTTAATTAATTTTAACGGATTTTGTAGGGATTGTGGCATTCCTAGGAGAAAATTATGTTATACTGTTTTTTGTTTGTTTGTTTGTTTGTTTCCAGTACCGGGGATCGAAGTCCCAACTTTGCGCTTGCCAGGCAAGCGCTGTGCTGCTGCGCTAAATCTCCAGCCCCTATGTTATACTCTTATTAAAAAGTTGCCTGTGGTATTCTTTTAGGGTTTAGTTTGCCTAGAGTTAAAATTTATTAATGGCTATACATAGATCAGTCTTTTGGTGATTTGTTTGCTGTTTGTGTTTAAGAATGATTAGTGTACCTATTCATTTCCTCTGAGATACATTCTTAATACAATTCCTGGAGACCGTGACGTACAGTAATAGGTGTTTGGAACCACAATAAGAGAATTTAAGTCTTTTACCCAGTGATACGAGCATAATGTAAGGCAGTGAGAGAATTTTAATGGAAACACCTATTTCCTCTGCCCCTTTGGATTTTTTATCTTTTATTAGTATATGTTAAAATGCATAATACCTTCATCATGGGGACTTGGTACATATTGCATCTTAGTCCTTTTTATTTCCGTTACCCTTCCTTCCTCTCTTCCCCTGTCCCTAGATCGCTTTCTCATCTACAAAAGGTCTACCTCTCTGTTTTTTATTAGCTTTTATTTTGCTCTTTAAATTATTTATGCTTTGAGTTTCTCATATATAAGAGAAACCACTCCTGGAGTGATATTATTCTATGTGATTTATTTCACTTAGATAGCTATTTTAAACAAACTTTGGACAAAATATAGCAGAGAAATTATCACCTGACAAGACTGTATAAATAAGGAATGTACACTGTATTGCCAGAGCACATGGGAATAGGAATGCCCTAAAGCAGAAATACATACAACCAGTAGAACGGATTAAACCAAAAAATGTTTACTCTCACTGCTAGTTACAGGAAAAATCAAAAGCAAATATAATTCCTAGCCATTGAACTACGTATTGTTTCATGACAGTACTCATTGACAAAAATGTAATGAGCACGGTGCCTTCACACATATCTGCTAAGGCATAATGTGGCCACAGCATTTCTGGAAGCCATTGTAGCAGTATTCCTAAAGTTGACATTGGTCCACCACTAACTGCATGCCAGACACCAGACAGAGTTCCTCATAATCCACCACCAGTGCGTGGCTTCTTCACTTCTATGGCAGCAGTTCAGAACCCCTCTTATTTATTGACTCCAATGTGAACTTTTCAGTGTGACGTTCATCATCTTCTATTAATTGATTTCTTTTTGTTTCTCTTGATGGTTGTTTTCTCATTTGGAACTCTGGTTATGTCAGCTCTACCACTCGTTACTGTCTTGTGTAGCTTGCACTGACACTAGGGTCCTCACTGAGAGGACCAGTTACTGTAATCATCACACTCCAAGTTAGAAGTTGTGGCACATCCCACTGGCACTTTGTTAATTAGCATAGGCCCGGACTGTTACTAAACACCATATAATGCATCCACGTTCCCACGTAGCAAAGAACCTTGGCTGAATGATGAAAGCCCTGCTGCTCTGGCAGGGCTTATAGACCATGCTTGGGTGTTGTCCACTACTTACTGTTCCATAGAATTTTGTTGTATGTTCCCAGTTTCAGTGTAGTGCTACGTGAGCACATTCAGTAGGACTTACACATAATTACTAATTCACTTGTGAACATGTATGATTTCCCTCTTCTCAGGACCTGTTACTATGACTAGCGTGCATCCCCCAATACGCTCACCTAGTGCCTCCAGCGTTGGGAGCCGAGGAAGGTAAACACCATTAACCATGTTCTCTCATTCAGTAGCCCCTCAATATCCATGGGGAATTGGTTTCAGGACCCTCCAGAGGTTACTAGAATCTGGATGCTCAGTTCCTTGCTTGAAAACAGTGTAGTGTTTGTATATGACCTATGCATGCCTGCCCATAAGACTGTACATCAGTTTTAGATTACTTGTAATACCTAATGCAGTATAAGTGTTGTATTAATTGTTACATTGTATTGTTTAGGGAATAATTACCCCCTTTCCCCAAAAAGTCTCTATATGTTTAGTTCAGACACAATTTTTGCCTCAAGTATTTTCCTTCCACAGTTGGTGGAATCCTCAGATACGGGGACCAACTGTACATAAACTCTGTAGATTTCTTTTGCTAGGGCTCAGTATGTTTTGTATTGAGCGCATGTTGAACAGCTTCCATTATTTTTAATTTTTAGTTGAAATTTTCATAGTAATTATATTTTAATTTAAAAAGCTAGTGAAAAGACTAAAGCATAAATTTATCTTTGAAGGTAGAAAAATTTTAAGTTGAAAATAGAATATGTTTGACATTAGCAAGTAAAAAATGAAGTAGGTATAACAGCAGTATATAGAAATACCAGTTCAGGGAGGAGAAACACTTTAACTGTTGCATTCACTTCTGGTTGTTCTAATGATCAGACATTAATTCTACTTCAACTAAATTTATAATTGTTGAGTGTTAGTTACTGTTCTCCTCTTCTCATTATGCTTGATACCTGCTCTGAGATAGCTAACACAGTTCTTCCTTCCTTAATTAAATGAAAGAAGCCTCCTCTGAGGGCACAGGTTGCCCCGTAATCCCATGAGAATACAGTGGGTCTCTGCACAGCGTTTTTGTCCCACTACTTGTGTAAGTAGCAGAAGACCAATGTGTGATTTCCTAGTTGTCTTTATACTTCATCAACAAGTTTTTGTGTGAGCTTCACGTTCTCTTTGTCATGACCAGAGAAGGAAATATTAAAGCCTAAAATATGGTAGTTCTAAAATATCAACTCCTTTTTTTTTTTTTTTTTTGCGGGTCTTTTTGAGACAGGGTCTCGCTATGCAGTTCAGGCTGTCCTTGAGCTCACTTTGTAGCCCAGGCTGGCCTTGAACTCACAACAGTCCTCCGGAGTGCTGAGATTACAGCACTGTGTGTAATCACATGTGCCACCACGCCTGGTTAAATATCAACTCTTAATTGCCCAGTTATAGAGTCTCGGAATATTGAAGTCAGTTTTATTTTATTTTAATTCAGATTTAATTACCTTTCCAGACTTATAGTGTAACTGCTTAAACAGGTTACATTCTAAAGTGTTTCTATCATAACTGAAACTTGTGCATATAGGAGACATATTTTACTTATGCATGACTTGTTGCTGAGTTATGTAGTAATTTTGTGAAGATACAGCATTACTTCAGAGTATTATTACTATACTTTGTTGTGACATTTTGGTGTAGTATTTTTAGATTTTTAATTATTTTTCCTCTTTTACAGCTCTGGTTCTTCCAGCAAACCAACAGGAGCTGATTCTACACACAAAGTCCCAGTAGTCATGTTGGAACCAATCCGAATAAAACAAGAAAACAGCGGACCACCTGAAAATTACGATTTTCCCATTGTTATAGTGAAACAAGAATCAGATGAAGAATCTAGGCCTCAAAATGTAATTATATCACTGCTTACAATGCCATTCTTGATTAGGGGGTAAGAAGAAGATAGTCCCCAGTATAGCAGCTCTTACAGAACAGTCTGGCACAGAACAGCAGACTCCTCAAGGGTATAGCTGAGTGGAGAAGAATATTTTGACAGTGTTAAAAATCATTTTATAACCTGGAAGACTGGCATAGAGATGTGTACCTAGAAAAATAAGCAAATGGAAAAATAGGTCTACGTTTATAACCAGTTTGTAGTAAAATGCTCCAAAAATGAAATGTAGTGTCTGCGCTGAATAGTATTTACATAGTTGAATGATGAAACAGCACTGAAATGCACTAAAGTAAATATTATACTTAGACTATAATCTAAACATTTATCTAAAAAATTATGATTTTCTGAATACCTAATCAGTACAGATACAGCTCAAATGGAGTAGATGCCAGCTAGCCATACACAGTTATGTTGGCTCCTACCAACTGAAATGGTAAGGTAATGCTTAGTAAACACTATGTGTGGAGGGTGGATGGGTGCTAGCAATGCATATGTGCGTGTAGGAAGCGTTTGGAGAGTCAAGAGTGTGAACACGATCTCTGGATCTTCATAGCAGAAAAACCTCATATATATGACATTTAAAATTGAAAACCCAATTTTATGGGCATTTTCTCTAGGAACATGGAGGTAACCTGGGCACACTTATATGTGCCTATAATCCCAACTACTTGGGAGGCTGAGGCAGGAGGGTCGTGAGTTCAGGCCAGCTTGGGCAACATAGTGAGACCCTCACCTCAACAAGAACAAACAGAAAAGGAAATGTGAAGGTAAATAGCAGAAGGAAAAGCAAAGTTTGAAAATTGTTGCCTCTAGGGAATGAGTGCTTTTAACCTATCTACATTTATTACTTGGAAATTTTTTTTAAATGTTCGCAGGAGATCGTTTTTATTACTGATAAGGAATTTTCACTACTCTAGTGTCCAGCAGAATTTAGATTCATCTTAGAAGTATAGTGTCTACATCTTAAGTGTAATTTGAATTTATAGCTGCAATGCATACTTATTAAGAGTTCATGTGGCTGACTTCCATGCTGCCTATCTGCTCTCTAATTTGTACAGACGTGAGCAGACAGCAGGGATCACCACACCCTGCCCGTCGCCTGTGTCGACAGTCCAAGTAGAAGTCCATTTTCCTGTGCCATTAGAGAGAGAGAGTCCAGTGCGGTTCTAACTTCTGCAGAATAGCAGGGCCATGGGAGAGCAGTCTGCAGTAGTACTAGTAAACAAAGTAAATTTCAAAACACACATATGTACACATACGGTTTTTTCTTTTATTGTAGACCAACTATCCAAGAAGCATACTCACTTCCCTGCTCTTAAATAGTAGTCAGAGCTCTGCTTCTGAGGAGACGGTTGTAAGATCTGATGCCCCCGATAGCACAGGGGATCAGCCTGGACTGCACCCGGAGAACCCATCCAGTGGGAAGTCTGAGTGGCTTGACGCGTCTCAGAAGTCTCCCCTCCATGTTGGGGAGACGAGGAAGGAGGACGACCCCAATGAGGACTGGTGTGCAGTTTGTCAAAATGGAGGGGAACTGCTGTGCTGTGAGAAGTGTCCAAAAGTTTTCCATCTCTCTTGTCATGTGCCCACACTGACAAATTTTCCGAGGTAACACAGTGCTCGCCTTCCCACATCCTTTGCTGTAAATAGTAGAGCAGGGCTGGGTGGGTGACTCGGGGGAAGTGTATTGAACAAGCATATTGAAACCCCTGTATTAAGTCCCCAGCATTGCAAAAACAATTGTATGACAAAAATAGTAGCAGTGAACTTTTTTTTTAGATACAGCGTCTCACTAAGTAGTTGAGGCTGGCCTTGAACTCATGGTGGTCCTCCTGCCTCAGCCTCCTGAGTGCTGGATTACAGGGGCACACCACCACACCTGGCAATAGTGAACTTTGATGATCATTACAATCTAAAATCTTTGTAAAAATGTAAAGAAAGTTCCACTTGGCACAAACATATACAGTACTATAATGATAATCTAGAGTTTCCTGTTCATGTGCTTTTTTCAAAACACTAGGCTGGGCTGAGGGTGTAGCTCAGGGGTAGAGCACTTGGCTAACCTGTGTAAGGCCCTGGCTTCACTCTCAGCGTGGGAGTGGGAGGAAGCTAGTCTGTTAGGAGAATTAACAAAACCAAACAGAAACAAAGGCCACATAAGTTACTATAGCAGGTCATCATAAAGGACAGTGATCCTTAGGTACAGTGTGTCATCTCCCACCGTGTAATGTATCTTCCTGGTTGGACCTTGAGCTTTCTCATTTTCAGTGTCTCAAACGAATTCCCTATGAGATGATGATTGGTAAGACCCATCATGCTAATCTCTTAGTTCTTTACATGCTATACATTTATTTATTTATAAATGCCAAGTGGTGGCACACACCTGTAATCCCAGCACTCAGGAGGCTGAGGCAGGAATATTCTTGCAAGTTCGAGACCACCCTGGGCTACAAAGTGAGCTCAAGGCCAGCCTGAACTGCATAGTGAGACCCTGTCTCTAAAAGAACACCCCCACAAAAAACCCAAAACTTTAAATGAGCATTTCTTTTTTCTGAATCCTTTGAGGAAAAAATTCATTCATATCTCATATCAGCCCTAAGTTAACATATATGTTTAAAATTAATATATACAACTCATACATATATAATTAGCTTATTAATATATAAAGAAAATATTTCATAGCTCCTTAACTGGACTTTGATATTAACCACTTAGGGCTTTGCATTAGATTTCTGCTGAGCCCCATTGGAGGATCGCTCATACCTGTAATCCCAGCACTGTGGGAAGCCAAGGCAGGAGAGGAGGGTTGCAAGTTTGAGCCTAGCCTAAGCAGCTGAGTGACTCTGCAAGACCCTGCCCCAAAAAAGGAAGGGATGGAGATATAGCTTCATGCAAGGGCCCTGAATTCAATCCCAGTACAGTCAGTCAATCAGTTAATTTCTGTTTCTTCTCCCACCACTGTGCTGCCAGAACAGGTATGTGGTATTTAGTGATTAAAATTCATGCCAAGTAACTCTGTACTAGATAGCATGGAGGATGTAGCAAGGGGAGGTGTTAAAAAATACTCAAAAATACATTATCTCAACAGTGGAGAGTGGATCTGTACTTTCTGCCGAGATCTGTCTAAACCAGAAGTTGAGTACGACTGTGATGCTCCAAGTCACAATTTGGAAAAAAAGAAAACTGAAGCTCTTGTTAAATTAGCACCAATAGATAAAAGGGTGAGTCTTTTGACATTTCTACCCTAGAGCATGAGAAAAAAATTTTGATTAGATGCATTATGTTTTATATTGGATTTTTAAGGAGTTTTTTTTTTTAAATAAAGCAATTGAGAACTTAATAGCAAATTACAATGTTTTTAAATTTATAAACAGGAATGTATGTGTGTGTTATAGAGGCTTATTCTACCTGCACAGGATCGATCCTGGGCTCTTAGATTTAATCTCACTTGAGTAAAAGTTTCATTTCTAGCACAGATAAGTTTTGTTTCATTATTTGTTTAGAAGTGGCACTGTGATCTGGGGTTCTCTTTCCACTCTTCAGGAGAATAATTAATTCTTTCACTAGATGGTAGTAGGTTTATTCATATCTAATTACTAAAGAACCTCCTCTGCTAAATTAAATAGAAAACAGTATGAAAATGTCAGGCAAGAAAGCCACCCCAGGGCCAGGTCTGCACACAGTGCCCACTGGGAGAAACGTATCGGAGGAAAGTAACAGAGCACGCACCAAGGAAGAGTCCCCAGCCGCGATCTCTGACTAGATGCGGCCCTCTGTCTTGGCCGCTACTGCAGCACCCAGACTGAAATGGAAAGTCATTGTAAAGACCTTCAGATGAGTTTTTACTGGTACTGTTCTTGGTTCAGTTAGTTACAAGGACTTTCTCAAGTAACACGTACATCCTACATTGTCAAGCACTACAGTTAATGATTGTCAGATTTAGTATCTTTCTTGTACTCCAAGATTTAGTATCTTTCTTATACTCATCTAGTTTTAATTCTTGTAGTTTGAGACCTATGGAATTTTTACTAAAATAAACAATGACTTCCATTATGGGTTTTTTTCCCTTAGAAGTGTGAACGCCTACTTCTGTTTCTTTACTGCCATGAAATGAGCCTGGCTTTTCAAGACCCTGTTCCTCTAACTGTAAGTATTAATGTCATCTTGTACATGTTCACATAGCAGATGTGGATGTTCGTTTTTTTGGAAATTTTGTTTATAAGAGTAGTTTCTCAGGAGCCAGGGATATAGCTCAGTGACACAGTGCCTGCCTGGTAAGCACAAGGTCCTGCGTTCGGCTCCCAGTATCAAAAACAAAGAACAAAAAATGACATATGTAAAGAGTCTAGTTTGTAGACCATTTTCAATACTTCCTAATAGCTAATCCAGATCTTAATGTATAGGTCCAGACTTAAAGTAATAAATGGACTTTTCCGTAGAAAGTAAGCTGAGGAAGGGATGTGTATGTGTGCTAGCCATTTACTTCAAAGAGGTTTGTATTAAGAGTTTCATGCACCATAGTCTTATATTTGTGGAAAGGGCCCACTACCCAAAATATAATCTCTGTCTATTGTATGTTGTCCAAAATTTTAAAAATTCTATGAATTTGTCTTTATTAAATTTTAAAAATTAATGCAAGGTTAGAAGAAAACTAACTTGGTAAATATGTGCACTCAGCTGATACCAGTCAACTTCTTTCTTGAGAACAAGTAATGAATAATTCCAGGCTAAAGGAACACTTGTACCCAGAAGAGGCAAGGTGAAGAAGTCAAGTAGGCACAATGTAATGGCGCACACCCAGTCCCAGCACTTAGGAGACTGAGGCTCAAGAATGGCCACGAGTTCAAGGACATCCTGGAATATACATTGCAAGACCCTGTCTCAAAAAACAAACCAAAGAGGGAAGTCAAATAAAAGAAGCTGGTGATGCCAGTACACACTTAAAAATGTAATGCAACCTTGGTGTTTTTATCTTGCCTTACAGCTACATTTGTATTAATAACAACAGTAGCAAGAAAATGTCTTTCATTTTCCTGATATATGTCACCTTTTATTATCTATATAATAATGTATTGTGTATATTATGTATATATATGTATATATATATAAGTCCTATGCAGTTGCAGGATTACTCCCATTTGGAATATGAGAAAATGCTCCGTAAGGTTAAATAACTCACCCAAGATCTTGCTGTGGAGCAGCAGAGCTGGTGATCAAGCTTTACCACTTGCTATAATTCATGCAAGAAAAAAATGTCACATACCACTACTAGAAATACTTTTTTTCCTAATCATTGCTTTTTATGTAATAATTAAAGATGGAGAATAGAGAAAGTTAATAGAGAATATATGAAGACATCATGTTTCATTTTGTTTTTTTGAAACAGAGTCTCACTTTGTAGTTCAAGCTGACCTTGAACTTATTATGTAGCCCCAGCTGGCCTCGAACTGGGTAATTCTCCTACCTCAGCCTCCCAAGTGCTAGGATTACAGGCATGCACCACCATACCCAGCCTAAACAGGTTTTCTTACCAAGGATAAAATGCAGAAAAGCTGTAAGGGCAATCTGAACTTTCCTGTCACTTCTTATAGAAGTATTTAGGATTCGGTAGGACTTAGTTGTTATAACATCTCAATTGTTTTGAAAGGTGCCTGATTATTATAAAATAATTAAAAATCCAATGGACTTGTCAACCATCAAGAAAAGACTCCAAGAAGATTCTTCCTTGTACACAAAGCCTGAAGATTTCGTAGCTGATTTCAGATTGATCTTTCAAAACTGTGCTGAATTCAATGAGGTGAGGGGAGGTCAGCTTCAATGTGAGTGTCATCTGAAAACAAATACGCTGTCAACAAATGAGACAAGATGTCTGGTAGGGGAATAAATGTCCACATTTCGGATCCATCGGAGTAGGAGAGAGGGAATTAGGACATTTATATTCAAAGCTTTATTATATGGGGAGTGGAAATATAAATTATAACATAACTTGACAGTAATTTAGAAAAAATTCTTCTGGTCTAGAAGTAGTTTTTGTCATTCTCACTTTTATTTCTTGAAATGTGGACTTCCAAAATTGTCTTTTCATTGTTTATCATGATATCTTAAGGATAAATTCAAGAAGTCCTCTAAAATTTTCTCATCTCTTAATCATTTAAATATGTCAGAATATACCCTTCAGTATGTACCCCTGGTTAATGGTTTGTTCTATTTTTGTGTTAGTGACTATGTGTAAACATTTTCCACAACAGTCCATGGACACTTATAATCTCAAGACTCAAAAGTGAACAGAAGTTTGAGAGATTATTTCTACTGACTATCTAAAATGTTGGTCTTTATTTTTTAATTCTTCTTATTTTTATCCAACAGCCTGATTCAGAAGTAGCCAATGCTGGTATAAAACTTGAAAGCTATTTTGAAGAACTTCTAAAGAACCTTTATCCAGAAAAAAGGTTTCCTAAAGTAGAATTCAGGAATGAATCAGAAGATAATAAATTTAGTGATGATTCAGATGATGACTTTGTACAGCCCCGGAAGAAGCGCCTCAAAAGCATTGAGGAGCGCCAGTTGCTTAAATAAAGCAGCACCGCTGGCGTGTGTCTGTTAAAGAGTTTTTGTCAGTAATTTAACGACATCATACAGAAGAGTTTGTGAGCTCTGTTTTTGATGTTTACTAGACTTTGATTTCTTTAATAACCAATTCCTTTTAACCTCTTATTAAAAAAGAATGAAAAAGAGGAAAAGAAATGAATGGAAGAAAGAAAATGAAGGAGGGGAGGGAGAAAGGATGGTAGAAGGAAAGAGGAAGACGCATTGTAACAAAAAGACTTCTTCCCACTTCTTGGAGTCAAAACGCAATCTGGAGTGACGGCTACTGCAGCAAGGAAACAGACTTTCTATGAACTCTCAGTTGAAAAGTTAAGTGGTTTGAATGTGTGCGTTAACCCACTTTTAGAAAATTAATGCCACTGCCCATTAATTATCACCCAGCCGTAGGCCTAGGTTTGAGGGGGAAACCACGCGGCGCAGCAGAAGGATAGATTAGATGCCATAAGAAGGTTCCTAATAGTATATTATGAGAGATGGCAACTGTATTAAAGAAAAATCAGGAAAATGAATGCTTTTTGTTTTTGTTTTTATCTATAGAGGTGTGTGGTGGCCATATTTCATACATGTCTAGATCTAGATTTTCTTCAGCTTCTTCCCCTGACAGAAGGAAGTGAGCACGTGTTTGGTTTAGATGTGTGTCTGTGTGTTTTGTTCGTTGTGGTTGTTGTTTTTTTCATTGTATAGATTGTCCTTTAAATACAGGGCTTTGGAGTATGGCTTTTAGTGTGACTATTCAGTTTTGAAATTCAGCAGGGTGCACTGTATCTGATACGAGATTTCAAAATATGCCCTCTTGGGCACTAAATATAAGTTCCCCTAAAAGGGACTAATTTTGTGGTTTTCATATGTCTTTATAATTTCTATTCAAAATGTGTTACAAAGTATGGGACAGGCAGTTGTAGCGAATTATTAGTGAACAATTTTGTTTGTTTGTTTTGGTCTTCTTGAGAACAGGGTCTGTCTCTGCAGTTCAGGCCGGCCTTGAGCTCACTTTGTAACCCAGGCTGGTCTCGAACTTGCAAAGATCCCCCTGCCTCAACCTCCCGAGTACTGGGATTACAGGCACAGGCATGCACCACCATGCCCAGCCTAGTGAACGTGTTTTTTTCTGAAGCATCTACTTCCTGGTTGGTTAGTTGGTTGGTTTTTAAAGAATCAGAACCTCATATTTTATCTTTGATCTGAATTGGGAAGTGCATTTTCTGTGATAGAGGTACAAAAATCCATCTTCTGAGAACAAGTACATTAATGGGCCATATCCAGCTGTCCTAACTGACATCTTACATATGCCTTTTACTTGTTCAGTCTTCTGTAAGGATCAGATGACCTGTCACAGAAGGAAATTAGCTTAAGATAGAAGAGAATTACTGTGCCATAATCTAATCAAACATTTGACAAAATACACATGAAAATTTTAGTTTGCCAAAGTAAACATTTCTTAAGAGTACACTACAGTTTTATTTATTTATTTATTTATTTATCTTTGAGACAGGGTTTCACTATGTAGCCCAGGCTGGCCTTGAACTCACTACTCACTTTATACACCCAGGCTGGCCTCGAACTCACAGCAATCCTCCTGACTCAGCCTCCGAGTGCTGAGATTATAGGCTTCGCCACCATGCCCAATGTTGAGGGTAGTTTTGAAGGAAATTTTTCTCTTTAGGGTGATGAAATAAAATACAGCTGACTCGAAGAATTCTTGGGTTGTACTGTCTCCCATGAGTTAAATGTAGAGGACTTGCTTTTATCCTCATGCCATTATTTCTTAAAATGGACAATTTGAAAGTATTCTGTGGGTAATTCATTGGATTTTCACATTTTGCTGAAGAGAAAATATAAGCAGAAAATAACTTATAGCCATAGCGTTCCATTTTCTATATAGACTTAGGGCTTCCCCATTAAATGTCAATTATGTATTGTTAAAAAAAGTCATAATCACATTTCCAAATATATAGTACCTAGTAATGTTTGTTGTGTTGTTTTGAAATTTATTTGACATTTGTTTTCCAGAGACTATTTGAACAAATTTTGGTACTAGTACAAACACCTTTTAATTGTCTGTTTTGGTTGAGCATTTTTAGCATAGCAGCTGGGGAGTTTTGCTAATAAGTTTAATATTGGTATCACAGAATACTGCTCTTTTGATAGTTCTCCCTTACTTGTGTCCTTTGTTAAAACAGCAACACAGGTAAATTATTTTAAGAATCATTATTAAGGGAGATAGGTTTAAGAGAGAAAATACAATTTCTTAAATATATCTGAACCAGAGTTTCTACTAATGTATCCTAAAACGTCACAATTATATTCAGTCCTATATTAACTTTGTAACACATTTTTCTGTTTTGCTATAACCATCCTTTGCTAAGAGAAAGGCAGTAGAGGATCATCTTCTGTCATCATATATAATAATGTAAATTATATTCAAAGCAGTTATCTTGGGTTCTCTCCAAATGGCCCTTTTGCCATGGTCTCAGCTCTTGTGACTGTTAACACACGAGTGCCCAGGAGGATTGCCGCCATCCAGTCCTTAAATCCTACCCTAATAGAAGCTTTAAAAAGAACCTCTCTATACCCCACACTCCTGAGAGCCCCACCCCCACCTCCTCCGTCGGGGGAGGGCTTCAGTGTGATTCAGGGAACCTAGACCTAAACCTTAGCAACACTCCAGTGTTTATCTCTGACCAAAAACTCAGGAGCCTTCGCTCTGGGTTTAGGACCAAGAGCCTAGTATCACAGCCACAGGAGACCCACATTGCTGAAAGTGAATGAGCAGAGCATATCAGAGCCGGGGTTTTCTCAAGAATACAGTCAGTGATGTAGATCGCTATGGCAGAAGTACAAGTGGGCTAGGATACATCATAGTACATGCAAAATATCTTACATGAGCAGCTGGCAGTGTGATCCTTTCATCCTTTATGTTAACAGGCCCTGCTTATCCTGCCCTGAGGGATAGAAAGGACTAGAAGAAAAAAATACTGTCCTCTTCCCATGGTAGTTTTCTTTTGTTTTCTAACTTAAAGACTAGGCCTTAACGTTTTAGTACCTACCATACATAGTATAGATGTGGCATAACTTACGAATGCTTTCAAAAGATTAACTCTGCAGTCCAGAGGGTGGGTATACAGCCAATTGCTCCATTTACGAATTTGCATTTCAAATCCTCTGCTATTACAGTGGTTACACTTTTAAATTTGATTTTAAAGGACAGTGAAAGAACAACTTTCGCTGAGGTCTGATCCAGATTAATGTGATTCCCAAAAGTTGCTGTGAATGAAAGATTTTTAGGTTTAAAATGAAGATTCGCCTGGTTTCTTTTTTACCTGTAATCATTATGAAGGAAATCAAGTGATCTGATTGGCTATTAACATTATGGACATGACCTTGGGTCCAATCGTCTAATTTCTTACTGAGCTCCTCCTTTTAAATAACCATGAACATATTTTTTTAAAGTATTTTATAGCGCCATGTAAATTAACAGTTGACAACTTTACAAACATTTTATTGTACCTTCATCTTGGATGGGAATTTTCTAAGTCACAATTCACATGCAGGTGATTCGTGTTCCTGGTGGGAACTTGCCAGTCAGATCACAGATTTCTCCGTGAAGGTTTTGCTGACTGTGAAGGGCATTTGAGGCAATAGTCTGGATCTGGTGTTTTCTTTTAAATTTGGGGGGGCGGGCAGACTGGTGCTTTGATTTTAATAAAAATTAACTTTGATGAATTTTTACTGTGACTATTTTACCACAACAGATTTTAATGGAAAAATTAATGAAAGTCATTTCAGTAGAATTTTATCTAGTCTTCCCTCATTTCTGCCTTTGTGTGTTCCTCTGATAATAGAATTGATATGTGTAGTTGAACTATACTAGCCCATAAATAGGGAATGGGGAAACACCTTTTATTCTAACACATGTATTTCATTGGCCTTAAGATTTTTTTTTTTAAAAAAGGGCAAACAGGAAGGAAAAAGAGTAATAAATACTTCAACTGATACTTTACTCCCAAAGGTAAGAAAACGAACTATGCCATGGGGAATTCTGCATATCTCGATCCTACTATGGAGAGAGAGGGGATGCAGAAAGTTGGGGATTTTATAAGTCACTTTGAAAGTGTGCCTATGTTAATTATACCTTGAAAGTTCAGAAAATTTTGGTAGGGATACCCTCTGTTTGAAAATTAGTTTTAAAAAATCAAGCCCTAAAAAATGTCCATGGTTGTTAACAACTAAAACATTTACCAAAATTCTGTCTTGGCCCATTTTCAAGTGACATACTATTCTCATGTATCAGGAAACTTGGGTTGTGAATTCTTTGCCCCTGGGATAATGCCTTTAACCCAAAGACCAGTGAGCCAGAAAATCCGGGTATCTTTCATTGCCAGTGACTGGAGCCCAGCTGTCCGTGCTTTCAGATAAGGACATTATACAGCTCAACCAGAGAGGTTAGCACTCCTTACTCTTGGGATGAGACTGTATTGTCCCGAGAAGTGGCATTTCCCCAAGAAAATCAGGCTGTTCCAGGCACCAGACTTTGACACTGTTGCTAGTATCTAATCTGATCTGTTTAGAGATCCATTGAGAAGGCACTGAAAGAAAGCCCAAAATAAGACGTTTGTCACTCACACTACAGAAGGAATTTTTGCTGTTGTGGTCAGTGCTTTAGAGAGCCTTCAAAAGAGTCTTCTATATACATATAAAACAGATTCAGACAGATCTGACCTCTACCCAGTTGTATAAGACAAAAGTGTGATTACGGAGAAACCAAAATCAACAACCAGTATTGTCTGTCTTGATGGTCTGTAAAACCAATCCAGAAAAGCTCTGGTTGGTGATTTAAGTATGCTGACTTCCATTTCTACTGATGAGTAATACTGGTAAGTATACCAAGCCACCCACCTGAGTTATCAAGAATTTGTTGAATTTGGTGTTCAATTAAAATTCTGTTTGTAGTCTGCCATAGACTAATGTGGTATTATCTCAGAAGCCTGGGTCCTGGACAGTGCTGGGCAGTGCTTTACCGTTCCCCGGGCCTGGAGATCCACAGGTACTAAGTTCTGAAATCCTTACAAATGGTTGCTAACTTCAGCTTTGGGATTTACAGTTACAATTTGTGGCGGGTTGTTGGGCTAACACTACAAGTGTAGCCATAACATCTTTCAATCAAATACATTTTGGCCTAAAATTTTTTAACTAGAGTTATAGATGGGTTTCCTCTTGAGCCTGAAAGGTAAGAATGTTTCAGGCTTGTGACAGAGCCCATATAAAGCTTACAAAACTTAAAATATATTTGGCCCTCTGTATCCATGAGCACTTCCATGGATTCCACTAATTGCAGATCAAAAACATTTGAGAAAAAAAATGTGTCAAATCCTACATGTAATTCAAATGATTAGTAATAGAGATGACTTAAATGTCTGCATAGGAGGGTATGCCTGAGTTATATTCAGATTGCTGCTGCGTAAGGAACTGGAGCGTCAAGGATTTGGCTCTAAGCAGAGGTATAAACCTCATGTACACATGGTTCACTAACATAACATCTCACTGGTTGTGAGCCAACCTTGGGGTCCCTAACTTCATTAGACCTCTACATTGAATGACAGTGAGATAAAATGTCTTTCCACAGCATGCCTGTCCAGATAGGGTACAGCATGAAAGCAGTTTTGTGACACAGGAAGGCTTGCTGCTTCCTTTATAATTTTTATCACATATGGTAATCAGAAGTCCCCTCCCAATAAGGATGTTAGAGTAAAAATAGGGAGTGTATGGGGAAAGTTTACTCATAGCTTCTTCATAATTATAAGATGTACTAATTTAAGCATTTATGAATAGTTCATTATTAAATATGCTAATTTCAGTTTGAGTTGGATGACTATTCTAGTGGGTTTGAAAGAATTCTTGATAGCCTTGTTCTTAGCTACAAATCCCATGGGAGAATACCAGTATATGTTTTGCCTAAGATTGAAGGGTTATTCATTGGTCTTACGGAAGAAAAGCCACCTTCCTCCAACAATGTGCATTTACTGCCTTTTCCGTCTCACAGCGTTTTTTATGAAAGTTTACATTGGTCCCCCCTCGGGTGACAGTATGTGAACAGCTGCCCAGCTGCATTCCCATGTGCACCTTATTCTTTTAAATAGGTAAGTTTATTAACTACCAAGTAGCACAGAGAAATAAAATCAAGTTTTTTAAATGTGCCACAGCTCCATGAAAATGATCTCCCCTGGTAGATCCAGCTTTGCAGGTCTTCATTTAATTTGCTGCGGGTAGGGGGGTAGAGGATAATAGATCAGTAGAAGACTTTTAAAAGAGTTCACACCAACCTAACACTAGCAACCAACAGGAGAAGGTTCTTTAATAAAATCTGAGAAATTAAGATTCAGCACTCTTGTGTACTTGGAAATGCAACTGTAGTTTTACAATTTAATTATTGTAGTCCATTACAGAGATTTAGAAAAATTCAGAGTAAAAATGCACACAAGTTATTATCACTGAAATGGTTAAATTTCTTAGAGTATCTCTAAAGTTGACGTTAAGTTAGTCACCAGGTTGATTTATCCAGTGAAATCACTGGAGTACAGTCTATTGCTGAAGTTAAAAAACTCGACACATTCTTATAAACATTTCTAGAAACTTTCAGTTCCTGACTTATGAACTGTCACAGGAATACTGTGTAAGACTCAGAAACCTCATTTGTAAGTCAGGGACTTCCTGTATATGCTATAGTGAATTACGTGTGTTGAGTGTGCTTGTACTTACCTATTGAATCTACATATTAAGATTCTAAGGAAATTGATAGTAAAAGAGCTGTAAACAACTATGCAAAATTACCATATCTCTAAAACCAAGACCTAGTCAACAGAAATGGGGCCAGTCCTTTAGAGGTAGCTGTGACTCGAGTTAGAAATCTAAGCCATATTAACAAGTGACTCCCACTTGTGTGGATTGTTATGTATAGTACTGCTTAAAACATTTTGGAAAATTGGAAAGGAATAGAGAACTAGGAGATTGACACCTTTACATACTAGTGTACCTTTCTCAAGTTACTTAGCTTCCTTGTGCCCTGGTTTATTCATTTGTGTGAAGGTGTTATATGCTTCCTTTCTGTCTTTAATGAAAGGATTATGAGTCAGCTCTTTGTCTGACTTAAAGCAATCAATGATGGGTCACTTCCCAAACAAAGGAACTAGACAAAGCCCTACGTTCATACTTAAATGACAGGTCACCTAAAATGTGATTAAACAAGCAAGAGGAAAAGTAGAGACCTGGATGAGCCACCCGGTTTGTTGCTTATGCTTAGGCAATAGTGACTTCCTTGTGCCTACAACTTAGTAGGATAGGGGAGACAAGGCAACAGCCAGAGTCAACCAGTAACCTCAGTTATTCTTCCCAGATACCTGCCATTGTGTACCAGCCACTGGCTTTTAAGGCAGGAAAACACCACTGCTGAGCTAGCTGTTCTTCGCTAAGTCCAGTTATAAGGGCAGAAAACTAGGAAGGCCCTCTGTCCCAGTTTCGCCATAGTGTGTACTTTTGGGGCATTTTTTATGTGAGCAGTCCGTAACTACTGTAATGGACAGCAGCTCATGCCATGCTGAAGCCTTTGGGTCCACTCTTAGCATAGGTACTGGGGGAATGGAGGATGGGCCAAGCTGTGAGGACCATGTGACCCTAAGTGCTGGAGCCTCAACAGCTGTCACCTTGGTCCCTGTTAGTCAAACTATAACTCACAAGAAAAGGTGTGAAGCTAATTATTACTTTGACCTCAGTGCTACTCACAGTTAGTATATGCAAGAAAGACCAGAGGCCCAGTTTTTCTTTTGGAGAAAATTGTGTTATATCTGCTTAAAAGAAGGATGCCCATATACCAAATTCATGTAGTCAAATTTCTGTGGTCAAAAAGTACTACTGTAAGAGAGTCCCGTGTTACTTACCTGTAAGGCCCGTCCTTTGGTCTCGATGGGAAGAGTAAATGCAGAAACGGCACACACAACACAGACAGATGAAAAAAGACACAGGGCTCCCAAGAAGGATGCGCTCATAAGAACCTGTAGGTCACGAGAGAATGACCTGATTATGTCCCAAACACCTCTGCTGGTCCTTTATGTCAGAGTAAGGATTTACTTGGCAGATGCCAGTTCTGTAAGCTAGGAATTCCTGACGTTGATTTATTTGGGCCAAGCTGATACAGGAATTTGTGTGACTGGCATTAATGTGCACTGGCCAGTTTAGAGTTCTCTTTACCCACCTGCTAGACATCTCTAGAACAGATTTCAGTACTTTTTTTGGTCTTTTTAGGACAGGGTCTCGCTATGCAGTTCAGGCTGGCCTTGAGCTCACTCACTGTAGTGCAGGCTAGTCTCAAACTTGCAACGATCCTCCTGCCTCAGCCTCCCAAGTGCTGGGATTACAGGAGTGCACCACCACGCCTGGCAATTTTAGTATCTAGAGAAATGGGAGATGGCCTGTTTTTCCACCCCTAGTATTGGTTCACTTAAACATCTAACCATACCTGGTGGATGGGATGAAAAGTGATTTGGAAGAGATGTCCTTTCAGAGTCTGAAAAGATTATTAATGTAGCTTGTCTTTCAGTGCCTGTGAGAGCTTCCCATTTGGTGTCCATTTTCCACTATAATAAAGGGTTTCTTCCAGTCTGTCTAATCTTTCAGCTCAGATATTTTCCCTCTAATAATAGCTAATCCAGACACTGTACATAATACTTCACTTTCTCCAGGACTGTGTCCAAACTTGGCAAATAGTCAAGCCCTTGGTAGTTGTCAGCTACTCTTTCTAGTTTGTTGAGATAGGGTCTGATTGTGTAGCCCAGGCTGGCCTCAAATTCATGGTGATCCTCCTGTCTCAGCCTCCTGAGTGCTGGGATTGCAGTCATGCACCACCAAGCCTGGCTTTTGTTAACTAATGTTAACAAGGACAGTTAACTCTGAAGTGATTTAGGGGCAACAAGGCTGTCTAGAATCAGAATATTGCAATTTGGAAAGAACTAGAAACTTACCTGGTCTGGTCCAACCTCCTCACTCTGCAGAGGAGCCTATATACACTAAGTGACTTCTCTCAGTATTTATTACCCAGATTCACATACAGCTGTCTGACAACCAGCCTAGTATTACTACCACTGCTTAGATTCTGTTATGACACCCAGTTGGGGAGCCTACTGCATTCTAAAGCGGTAAATAATTCCACTTACGCAAATGGAATCTGTAATATTAGCTTCACTAATTATTTGTAGTTGACCTAGCAAATGATAGTTTCTATTCTGACTCATTTCCCAAAATACAAACTTTCCTAACCAAGAGTTTGTGTGGTATGTTGAGAAAGGGAAGTTTAGGAAACGAGGCTTAGAAAAGGGATAGAAACCAAAAGAGGACCAGCTGCTTAAATTATGACCAAATCCTGCCAAAACAGGGCATGGATCAAGATCCATGTTGCTGTTGCTGCTACCTCTGTAACTGGACACCAGCGTTCACCACCACCACCAGACTGAACCCTCAACTATCTCTTCCTACATGGCTCGAGACCCTGATGGTTGAGTTTGGGTGACATAATTCTATTAACCAGGGCCAGAGATGGCACTTGCCTATTTTTGGTTTTCCTAGGATACAGGGTTCTGCTTCATAGTAACTCTAGAAGTCCTGTGTTTCATTACTGACTATTGTTCCAGTGAATCCTACCTAAGCCAACTAAAGTCAGTTTCTGTTATTTGCAAGTATGGTTTTTTTAAAAAAAAAATTCTTATTTTAAAGAAAATAGCCAGGTGTGGTGGTGCACACCTTTAATCCCAGCACTCGGGAGCCTGAGGCAGGAGGATCACTGTGAGTTTGAGGTCAGCCTGAACTGCATAGTGAAACCCTGTCTCAAAAAATACCAAAACAAATTTTTTTGAAAAACAAGATAATACAGTAACAATTACTATATTGTTACCTTTACTCAGAGTACAAGAAATAGGCATTTAGTTGTCCAAACAATACTAGCACAAGCTTTTCTTTTCAATGAATTACGAGAAATTAGTAGTATAATTACCTTAACTATCTTGTATATGTTTGTTTTTCCCTTTTTTCCTTTCCCCCACCCCAGTTTCTCTTTCCTTTTGAACAGTTTCTTCCCATTTCACAATGTCTATTGGCAAGGACAAATTGTAATACCCAATTGTAAAAATCAGAATACAACCCAATTTCCATAGGTAATATCCATAATTCCTCAGGCACCAACGTTATAGTGTTGAGGACTTAGAAATTTGTATTAAGTGATTCTAAAGATAGTAAAGTCCCCCAGGCTGTCCCACTCCATGTTTTCAGGTCTTATTATATTTCTTACATGTTGATTTCTTTCAAACAAAGTTTGTTGGGGTTTTTTTGTTTTTTTGTTTTTGTTTTTTTGGTCTTTTTGAGACAGTGTCTCACTATGCAGTTCAGGCTGGCCTTGAGCTCACTTTGTAGCTCAGGCTGATCTCAAACTCACAACGATCCTCCTGCCTCAGCTTCCCGAGTGCTGAAATTACAGTCACGTGCTACTATGCCTAGCTCAAACCAACTTTAGAATTGTTTTCCCCAAATTGATTCTAAAAATCCTACTGTGATTTTGATTTCTGTTAGAATTAGATCATTTGGGGTGAGAATTATATTTTTACAAGACTGCATCTTACACAGGAAATCATGTAAGCAAGCAGTTTTACAAAAGATGGATAATGAAAGATGCTCAACTTCACTAATAATGAACAATTAGTGAGGTTGGGTGAGGGCAAGATGTCATTTACAGGCTACCAGACAAAGTTTCAGTGCTTATTCTCCCTTTGATGATAATGAAGAGAAACAGGGAAACTTGTTTCGAAATACAATCAGAGATGTTCAATATGATGGCCATCAGGAAATGCAAAAGCAAACCATGAGAGGCCGTCTCTCACCAATTAGGATAGCCATTTTCAAAACAGCAGAGGGGTAGGGGTGTAGCTCATCTGTGCAATGCTTGCCTGGCACACACAAGGCCCTGGTTTCCGCAGCATGGGTGTGTGCGTGTGTGTAAGTGAAGACAGGAAAAGGGAACCTTTATACAGTGCTGGAGAATGCAGACTGGGGCAGCCATCATGCCAAACAGTATGTAGGTTCCTAACCCTATTAAAAACCAGAACAATCCTAGGATGTATAAATCCCGCTGCGTGTAGACCCAAAGGAAGTGAGGTTATCACCTCATAGATAAGGAGTGTCTAAATATAAAAACAGTTTGATGAAAGTGTGTTACTGAGGATAGAACCCAGGGTGCTGGGACTACAGGTGTGCCCCTCAAAACACCAACTAAAGTCAGCTTAAAATATACACACTTTTTGGCCTGGAAATAACCCAGGTGTCTTCCTACAGAAATTGGCTTTTTCCTCAGACATACTCTGTAGTCTCGCCTTTGCTGTGTCCCATGGGTTTCCTGTTGTTTCTTTCCGAGTCACATTGTTGGTACAGCATCTCCTTTTCCTGTTTTACAGCTTTCCATAGCAGTAATATATACTGTTTGAAGTTACTTCCTAATGGAGACCAGACAAGGAGTGCAGAAGCAACTGTGTAGCCTCTAGCACAGAAGAGCTCAGTGACTGTTAAGATTCCAATGACGGCACAAGTCCTTAGGTGCGTCGTGCACGCCGTCAGCATCCCAGTGCTTGCAGAGAGTGGAGAAAAGTAACTATGGACCATTTCCTCATGACTAAGGCAGTGCCCATTGAGTCACAGCACATCCATGCAATGGGAACCTGCGCCCCTAACAAACAAGGTGGATCTCCTATTGACATAAGAGTGTTAATGAGAGAGGCATTTGCAGTGGCAAGATGTAGCTTTAGAGAGGTGTGCGTGTTTACACAGACATAGCTACACAGTTAGTCACACAGGTGGAGACAGACAGGGTAAGATGGGGTCTGGCTCCATCTGATGTTTGCTTCGTACTGAGCTCCTGATGCCTGCCAGGTTTTGCCTAATCTTTCAGACCTGCTTGAGAGGACTTTTCTGCTCTCTCTAGTGACCTTAGTTATGTAAGAAGCCATTTTTATATCATCGGGGAAAAGCACCGCATCACCTGTCAAATCAGGTATGAGACTGGTGTCCGTCTGCCTCCATGGTGACCATAATGTATAGATAAGCAGCTGTTTGTGGAATACAGCTATTTTTGTGCATTATATGCATACAGTACATAGTCTATGCATGCATATAACACATATACAGAAACCCACATGTATGTTACTGGTAACACAGACATTCAGACAACATATGCACTGAAAAGCAGCAGGAAAAATACACTCAAGACTGTTAATAGGAGCCGGGCATCATGGCACATGCCTGTAATCCCAGCACTCAGGAGGCTGAGGCAGGAGGATCGTTGCAAGTTGGAGACCAGCCTGGGCTACAAAGTGAGCTCAAGGCCAGCCTGAAATGCATAGCGAGAGCCTGTCTCAAAAAGAAAAGGGAAAAAAAAAAAAAGACTACTAACTGGTTATCTTTGACAAAATTACTGGGATTTTTTTCCCTTAATTACACATTTCTGTATTTGAAATTTTACAGCCAGTCTATTTTTATATTCAGAATAAAAATTTAAATTAATATAAATGTTAATGTAAAATGAGAAAAACAATGAACTGCTAGTTTAAAATGCTAACTTTAAGAAATTACTGCAAAAGAAAGACAAAAAAGCCCAGATGAATAAATTGCAAAAAAGAAACAGGTCCAGTGGATAAAGAACTACTTTACAAAAAATAAACTAATAAAACCTAAGTATAAGTGAAAGTGGGGGAAAAAATTTACAGAACTAAGAATGTGAAAGATCTGGGTGTAGAGCGCGTATCTGTAACCACAGCACTCTGGAGGCCAAGGCAGGAACCTCCACCTCCTCTGGAGGCCAGGGGTTAGCTGCAGGAGCCAGGGAAGGAAGAGGAGAGAGAAGCCTCTTAGGAGTTTGGCCAGAAAGAGCAGGAAGAGCCAAGGGGCTTGAGTTTACAGTCTGTAAACTGGAATTGGAAGTACGTTCACATGCAGCAGGGAGCATTCTGCTTTCATGGGA